TCACCATCTATAATACAATAGCAATAAAGCTTACTTCATAAAATTGTTTGGGTATTAAATAGGGTGATCCTATAATCACGTTGCACGTCATGACTATTCCATACAAGGGAGTTATTATGTGTGGGGCGCCAAGTAAGCATGGTGGTAGGGAATGTGAGCACAAGATGCACTCTCTTCTGTCAAGGATCTTGAACTTTAGCTAAAGAGACAGATGTGTTTAAAAATATTAATAATCCAGTGTTAAGAAATGATAAACTCCCAAGGATTCAGTAAGCAAACATCATGGGAGCACGAATGGAGGGGAATTTAACTTTGTCTACAGAAAGGAGAAAGGAAAAGACTTGCCAAGGGACAGAAAGTCCAAGAGTCAGTCTTAAGAATAATGATGGCTTAGAGGTTATCCAGGAACCCTGGTGGCACAGTGGCTAAGCACTCAGCTTTTAGCAGAAAGGGCCGTAGTTTTGACACGTCACCCCACCTCCAGTAATTCCACTGGAGAAAGATGTAGCAGCCTGCTTCTTTAAAGATTTACAGCTTTGGAAACACTATGGGGCAGTTCTACTCTATCCTACCGGGTTGCTAGGAGTTAGAATCCATTCAACAGCACTGACCTGGAAGTTATCCATGCAAAGGAGAGAGGGAATGGAGAAATCAGGCTTTCCAGGGCTAGGTGAAAAACAAAAAACAAAAACCACCGCCCAACCCCATGACATCGTCATAATTGTTACGTTCAGTTCATTGTTACAGCCACTGTGTCTGTTCATCCCATTGTCTTTTCTCAGGGACTGGGCCCTCCTGATAACATGTCCAAAGTATCTGAGGGACTCTCACCATCTTCACTTCTAAAGAGCATTCTGGCTGTACTTCCTTTAGACAGATGTATTTTTCTGTCACTCCATGGTATTTCCAACATTCTTCGCAAACACTTCCAACACCATGATTCAAATGCATCCATCCTGTGGTCATCCTCAGTGATTGTCCACACTGCACATGTGTATGAGGCAATTGAAAATACCATGGCTTGGGTTAGGTGAACCCCAGTTCTCAAAGTGACATTTTTAGTTTTTTAACACTTGAAAGAGGTCTTGCACAGCAGACTTGCCCAATGCAGTTCACCATTTAGTTTCTGTTTTCATTTTTTTCCATTCATGCTACATCTTTTATTTCTTTTGGTTTTTTTCCCCCAAAAGATCTTTAGGGAAAGGTAATACAGATATTATATCATTCCATAGTTCAGTCACATCAAGCACACAATCAGTTTCAAAATGTCATTCGATTTCTTGACTGCTACTTTCATAAGCATTGATTGTGGGTCCAAGTAAAATGAAGTCCCTGGCAACTTCAATCTTTTCTCCATTTCTTATGATGATGTCTCTTGGTTCAGTTGTAAAGTACTTTGATTTTCCTTACATTTGTGGTACAAAAACTTTCAGCTCAGACAGAAACCCTGGTAGTTTAGAGATCATGGAATAGGTATGGGACAGCGGGAGCTATGGCAAGATTAGAGTCTGGAGACTGTTTGGAATACGATGCTATGGAGAGTGAGCTTTTAACTATAGGCAATGAAGAATGATTTAAGGAATTTTAAACATGGCCAGGAATGCAGTTGGATTTGTGGTTTTCAAAAGAATCTTTGGCTATTGTGTGGAGAGAATCAATTGACAAGTAAAATATTGGAAACAGTGAGACCTAGTGAGAAATGCTGTTGTCTTGGAACTATGGTAATGATGTATGGAAACTGAAAGAAGAAGATGGATTCAGGACAGGCCTGGGAGGCAGAACTTGGTGACCAGTTCATGTAGAAATAAAGTAAGAGTCCAACACGACTCCTAAATTTCCAGTTTGGGCAGTAGAGACAGTGTTGAGTAGACAGAGTAAGTATGTGCTTCAGGAATTTGACCAACAGATCCACTCGAGATGTGAAACACATTTTGGTTGTCGTATATATAGTTTTCAAAAGACTCAACCATCATAAGAACACAAGGACGTTTCCAATTTTCTTACTTTTTTTATGCTTTAGTATAGTTTTAGTTTAATTACATATTGGGGACAGGGATTGTAATCTTTTCATTGCTTGAAGGCTCCCATGTAAGGCCTTAATCCTTCTCTGATCTTCGATAGAGACAGGTATCATTTCCCTGAGATCCAGAACCCTGGAAGAGGAGCGCCTTTGGCTTTCTGCCTCTGGTACACTTAGCCCTGAGTAAAGGGAATGACTTGATTAGGTTGGGAAGGGACTTATAAGCATGTGACCTTGTAGAGAGATACAACAGAGCAAGCATAGCCAAACCCAAGTGCAACATTTCCATCTCTGTCAGAATGTTCAGAATTTGCACCCAGTGGTACTTTGATTTTGTTTTGTTTTTCCTAATGGTAATTTGAAAATGAAAGTGTTTATTTGCTTGCAAGAAAGGTCGTGAATACAAGTTGATAGAATGATAGGGGATTTAGATTTAGATAGGAGTTCTTAACCCCCAAACCAGAGGATTTATGAACTTCTGGGATTATATGTAAAGGTGTATATGTGTGTCTAATACATTATTTTACGAGGGCAAGTTGGGGCAAATTCTGCAGCTTTCCTTAGATTTCAGAGTGACATTGGTCCCAAGCTTATCTATGAAGTATCTTCCTCAGGGGACCTCACTTGAATGGGCCTCTACCAAAGGGCTAGAGAGGGACCCTGGTAGCTTCTTATTTGTAATTTTATATTATTTTTACTTAATGGTAACTCCCTCCCAAATTAGTATGGTAATCTGACCCCCCAAAATCTGGATTCCACTGCTGCCCATCACAGATTAGGGAATTAAATAACATGAGTTAATCTTGGGAAGTGGTTCAACCCGAGAGGAGTGAGTGTAAAAAATTAATACCAATGGCCAGAGACTGAGCTAGGAAAGACAGAAGCAGCAGCAGCAGCAATGCTTTACAAAGAAAGGGTGGTCATTGAAAATAATGGTGAATCCGACCATGTTAGAAAAGTGAAAAGAGAGGTGGTTAGTCATGCCCAATATGTTGAGAGATTGGAAAGAGGGTGGAGGGAGATTATAGGAGTTAAGACTAGAGCATCTTCACTGGAGTGGTAAAAACAAAACACAAGCAAAAAGCTGATAGTTTTGTTTGCATTTATGGACAGGTAAAACTGGGAGTTGAACAATATAAATGGTAGCTATGGTCCACAAATATGCAAGGGGCATAGGATTAACGAATGCTCTAAACATTACTGTCCAGTTAGGATACTATTAATTATTAAAGTTGGCTCATTGTCTAAATGGAATGTGTGCTGAGGTTAAATTAGATGGCATACATGTATTTTTAAAAAGTGTGTTCTGTGATCCAGCCAAAACTTTGACTGGCCCTTGTCATCCTCATCCACCTTTGGTTCCTAGTTCTTAATTTTCCTTCTCATTACCTGAACCCCTGTATTTTTGCTACTGGAGAACATGAATAGTGAGAGAGGAAGAAAGAACCGTGGATGACGTTTGAATAGGAAAGATTGTGAATTTAAAATTTATCATGGGTAATCCACACAACTAGTAATCCATATAAGGTTAACTGAATATTGTCTGTAATCCAGACCAAGGAAAACATCTGGTATTTAAACCAGAATGTTCTAAGTTGGCCATCCAGGTAATTCGGAAGTTGATAGGTTTCAACTGGGTAAACTTGGTTCAGACTGACTTGCCCAGTATTGGAAGGGTAAGTATTGTTTTTCTAAGTGTGAAATGTAGCCTTATCAGACATATATGTTCAACTCAGATAATATATTAATTTTGGAAACCACTTTAGAATGTTTTCACAATAACTTCCTTCTGGGATAATATTCTTGATAGACTGATTTTATTTATTATAGTTCCCCACATAACTTTCTCAAGTGGTTGTCTATTAAGGTGTTGCCTTTAAGTACAGGTACTTTCATTCATACATATGTCTCTACGAAAAAGCTGCTAATTGAGGAGGACAATGATTTGAAATGGTTAACATCATGGACTATAATAAGGGCATGGAAAAATGGCTACAAACTAGGAAGACCAAGCCAAGGAGCATTTTGGGGTTTCCTTGAACTAGATAAAATTAATTCAGTTAAAAAAAACAGGGATTAGCAACTATTTATTAAAATAAAATGGTGAGTAGGAAATGTTTTTAATGATGTAAATGTGGAGTAGTATTAATTTGCCATATTATCCCCATTGAAAGAGGATCAAAGTATATTCTGCTCCACTTCATAATGTAAATTAAATGAGTTCTAATTACTTGATATTTAGTTAAAGTTAAAATTTGGAAACAATTCCTAAGTTTTTAATATGAGTATAAAGTTTTCTGTTACTGTTAACCTCTTAACTTGGCTTGAGTATAATCAGTTTCTAGTTTGGTAAGTGGTATTTGAACCAACAAAACCAGTTAAACTCCATATACCCAGATAGATATTTGTTGGTTACACCTTTAAACTGATAAAGGACATAAATCAGTTTGACTGAAAGTTTGGTTGAATTGGATTTTGGAATTTTAAAAATTATTTGGACAGAACAAGTTTGGTCAGATTCTCATCCATCTCTGCCAAGAAAATGAGAGTATTTGGATTTAATATAGATAAAATTTTGTGTTGAATCGTCTGCCTGTAAGACATGACAAAATAATAATTTATAACTTATCAAGGGTTCATGAGGGTGATGGGGTGGGGGGGAGGGGAAAATGAGGAGCTGATACCAAGGGCTCAAGTGGAAAGCAAATGTTTTGAGAATGGTAATGGCAACAAATGTACATATGTGCTTACACAATGGATGGATGGATGGATTGTGATAAGAATTGTACGAGCCCCCAATAAAATGATTTTTAAAAGAAAACAAAAAGAAGTCACAGCCAAGGGGCGGGGGTGGGGTGGGGTGGAGTGGAAGAAGTCGACTGTCTTTAAATTTTATCATTGTTTTGTTGAACCTAATTGTACAACTTATGGATGCCAAAGCTAGACCCCAAACAAATACATGTTAAAATTTTGCCTTTAGCCAATAAGAAGAAAGAGAAAGAGCGCCCAGAGATTTCTCTTCCTTCAGACTTTGAGCATACGATTCATGTGGGGTTTGATGCAGTCACCGGGGAATTCACTGTAAGTAAGCTCCTTATTTTGTTTTTGTAAGCCATAAAGAACTCCTTTGTGATTTCAAGAAGAATTGCCAAGTCCCAGAATGTCAGACTTGATGTTTTTAGTGATTTTAAGTAAGATGAATTTTGCCCATGTGATCATAAATGGAAATAGAATACGGTAATAAAAATGGAAAAATTATTCTGTGCATGTCCAACAAAACATCTGGTCACTCTTATAACCAGTCTTGATGGAAAATACTGAGTTACCATGGCATTGGATACAGAGTCCTGTGGAGGAAGTCTCTGCTTGAGTCCATAGTCTATCATTTGAAGTGGTTAAAAATCATCTAATCAATTGTCCCAGTCAGGACAACCCATCAGAATAATTCAGACTTTACATTGGAGCTTGGATTATCCAGCTCAGCTAACCACATTACCCAAAAGTATCTGCAAAATTGAACAGTTTTTCCCTTTTATTTTAAGAACATAGCTTGTTTTTAGGATTATTAAAGGATATATTTTGCAGATATCTAAAACCTCAAACCCTTTATTTCAAGGAGAAATAATAATAGTGTCTATTGTTCAGTACTTAGGTCCTGATATATGATAGTAGTGGTCTCATACAATATTTTGGTTTTCTGTGTGTGCAATTAACAAATTTCACTCAGGATAATGTGTGTGAGGTTCATCTGTTATATGAGATGTTTCACAGAGTCATAAACATTCTTCAATGTTGTCTATGTACCATAGTTTGTCTATTCATTCATCCATTGTTAGACAGTAGGTTGTTTCTATCTTTTTGCTATCGTGAATAGTGCTGCTGTGAAAAGCAGTGTATATATAATTGTTCGTGTCTTGCCTCTTAATTCTCTAGGACATATAATTAGTAACGGGATACCTAGCTCATATGGTATTTATTATTCCAGTCTTTTAAAGAAAATGCCATATTATTTTCCATGGTTGTTGAAACCTTTTACAGTTCCACCATCAGGGTATGAGGGTTCCAGTGTCTTCCACACCTCACCAGTATTGGGTTGGTTTTTTTTCTGTGTGTTTAACTTTGCTATTGATAGTAGGGTAAGATGTTATCTCATTATTGTTTAGATTTACATCTCTCAGATGGCTCATGATCAGGAACATTTCTTGTGTTTGTTGAGTACCTAAATGTCTTTAGTGTAGTATCTGTTCATCGTCTTGTGCCCATTTTTAATTGGGTTGCTTGCCTTTTAGTTGTTGAGGTGTTGACGTTTTCTTGATTTGTGGAGTTAGTCCCTGGTCCAATATGGTGCTGGCATTTGCACAACCCTACCCCCATCGATAGATTCTCTTTTTACTCTTGGTGATGTCTTTAAGTGTACATGAATGTTTACTTTTTGGAGTTCCTACTTGTCTAGTTTTTCTACTGCTGTTTGTGCATTTTAAGCTATGCTTGATAGTATTTTACTGTTGTTGTTGTTATGTGTGATGCCATGTATTAAAGCCCTTAAATTTGCCCTTGCTCCCATTTTTTTCTTCGATATTCTTAGTTTTAGATTATATATTTAGGTCTTTGATCCATTTTAAATTTATATATGGTGAGAAATAAGAATCCCGTTTCATTGTCCGGAAAATGAGTATCCAGTTTTTTCAACTCTGTTGTTTAAAAAGACTATCCTTTTCCCATTTAATGAGTTATTGGCTCTTCATCAAAGATAACTGTCTATGTAGGGATAGATTTCCTTTTGGGTTATTAATTCTGTTTAATTGATCTATGTGTCTGTTGTCCTTGTACCAATACCAGGCTGTTTTGACTACCATAACTGTATAGTCGAATCAGACATTGAGACTTTTTAAAGAATAATGATGGAATTTGGATAGAGGTTCCATTATTTCTATAGATCGTTTTAGTTTATAGTGACATTTTCACAATGTAATGTTTTCCTATCCATGAGCATGATATAGTTTAACATTTATATAGTTCTATTCAGGTTTGTGTCTCTGGTTTTATTTTTTCCTAAGTACTTAATCTTCTGGGTGATTATTGTAAATGGTATTGTTTACTTATTTCCTTTACGGAGTTCTCTTTGTTAGTATGAATGGAATCTGGCTGATTTCTCTAAGTTGATCTTGTACCCTGCCATTCAGCTTAATCCTTCTATTATTTCTGGTAGTTTTCTTGTCGAGACTATTGGATTTTCCAAGTATAGGCTCATATAATCTACATATGGAGATAGTTTTAGTATTTTGTTCATTTGAATGACTTTAATTTCTCTCTCTCTTGCCATATTGCTCTGGCCAATACCTCCAATACAATAATGAATAAGAATGGTGATAAAGGGCATCTGTATTAGTCTAGGTACTTTGGAGAAACAAATCCACATCAACTCATGTATAAGAGAAGAGTTTTATGTAAAGGTTAAGTGAGCATCAAGAAAATATCCCAACCCAGTGCTGCCCAAGCCCACAAGTCCAACATTAACCCATTAGCCCATATGTCCAACACCAGTCCACAAAGTCCTCCTCCATCTCACAATACAGACACTATGATGCCGACTGCAGGAGGGAAGTCGAATCAGTGAACGTGTAAACATCTCAGTGCTGGCAGGGGTCTCCACACGGCTGCTCCAGCCCAGGGCTGCATCGGGATAGGTCCGTGCAGCTTCTCCTTGGGGATGCCTTGCAGGAAGTCAGCCTTGCAAGCTGGAGCAGGGAACTGCTAAGACAGTTGCACCCTGGTGCCACCACAAAGCAAGAGACCCAAGAACTCTAAAGGCGAGGCTCGCCAAGCCATTTATCCCTCCGCCTTTCAATTAATTCCACATGTGTTTATCGACCAGGTTGGCACAATAAACTAACTCAGCAACCAAGTCTGATTTTCATTTGCAAGCGAAAATGCTTTCATTCTCTATCCTTTAGGACTAATGTTGAATGCTGTTTTTGTATATATGCCCTTGGTTGTGCTGAGAAATTTCCCTTCTGTTCCTATTTTACTGAGCATTTTTATGATGAATGGGTACTAGATTTTTGTCAAATACTGTTTTTATGTTGATTGGAATGATCACATAGTTCTTTTCTAATATTGAACCATCCTTGCATTTCTAGTAGGAGTCTAACTTGGTCATTATATGTTAATTTTTTTGTATCTTAAATTCTATTTGCCAGGATGTTGCTCAGAAATTTTGCATCTATATTCATGAAGGATAGTGGTCTATACTTTGCTTTTTGTGGATTTTTACCTGGTTTTAGACTCAGGGATATGCTTGTATCATGTCATGAGCTCAGGATTATTCCACGTTTTTCTATGTTCTCAACGAGTTTTGAGTAGAATTGATTAGCAGTGCTTCTCTGAATGTATGATAGAATCTGTTGTCTGCACCAGGGTACTTTTTGTTGGTAATTTTTTATGACCTATTTAATTTCTTCTTTAGTGATGGTTCTACTAAGTGTAATGGAGAGTACTTTGAGGGTAATAAGGTGGTTTTGTAAAAAAAAATTAAGTACATAGCTTTGAAAAATTTCTGGTTCTTTTTTTTTTTTTGGTGCCCCTTCATATAGTCTGCTCTGGAGACTGGTCCAGAAAAAAGGTGTTTTATGTTGTTGTTGAGAGGGGTGTTAGGTTGGTTGATTGTGTTGTTTAGTTCTTTTAAATCTATTTTTGTCTTTGTGTCCAAGATATGTCTCTTATAAATAGCTTATTGATAGTCATGTTACTGCTACTTAACTATTGCAGTGGAATAGGTGTGAATTTACTCTTGTCATCTTGCCACTGTCTTTGTGTGTGTGGTGCTAGTGCTTTCCTTGTTTCATATATATTTCTATGCAGAATTCATTTTGTTTGTGAATTTTCTTATCATTTCCTTTATTCCTGTAGTTTTAGTGTTACATATCATTTTCTTTTGATGAGGGGTGTATTGATTTTCTGTAAAGTTGCTCTGAAATGTATTATCTTCCCAAGTTTTAAACACTCCGTTCTGTCTTGATGTTGTCTTGATTGCCACTCCATTTGGAAGCTCTACAACTACACCATTTATTCCCTCTTTTTGTTTTGTAGTTGCCATTATTGTTTGTAAATTAATTTACCTGCTTCCTTTATTTTCTGTATTGTAGGTTTATTTTATATATAAATATGAGACCACTACTATGGAAAGTCTAGACGTTTACTCACAATAGAAACATTATTTGAAAGTTACCGGAGAGGTCTCTATTCACACACTAACTTGTGTGAATGGAAGAACAGTATGCAATACGGGGGTAGGTTTCAGCACATGATCAAGGCAAAGGAAGACATAAAATCCTGCAGTGACAGAAATAATAATAGCATACAAGTGGATACATAGACACAGAAGCTGAACACGAATGGGAATGTGAATGGGTCTACAACTACAAATATATAGATAGGCTTGACAGAGAATATCTCTATATATGTATTAACTCACCCAAATCAATCTCCCTGCCATTGAGTCAATAGTGACTCATAGTGACCCATTGTATACAGTAGAACTTCCCCTGTGGGTTTCTAAGACTGTGTGTCTTTACAGGAAGAGAGCCTCGAGCAGTTGGTGGTCTTGAACTGATCTGTTTCTAGCAGCCCACCTTGTGACCTACTACACATGCCACATGTGTACTAGGGGGATTCAAAAAGATCATGGAAAAATTCCATTATCTTTTAAAAATTCTATTTTCTATTAACTTTGTGATACCCCCTCATATTTATATGCACTGAAAATATACCCATGAATACAGAGGGCAAAGTTATAAAACCTTCTTAGCCATAGCCAAACACATTGAGGGAAGGAGTTGCTGGACAGGGGAGATCAGGTTCATCGTGTGCGGAGACACCAAGGTCAGTTGGCATAACGCAGGCCACAAATCCAATGTTCTCCTTCATTTTGTCTTTGGGGCCATAAAATGTTGTGTAACTGTTGGTAGTTCCCTGTACAAAGTGAAGAAGAGTAAAAAAAAACAAAGACTCATTGAAGTTATTAGTCCAAAGGACTAATGGTCCATGAGTACTCCAGCCTCCATAGACCGGAAGACTGAGATGGTGCCTAGCTACCATTACTGAGCACACTGAACAGAACCAAAATAGGAGCATCCTGGATAGAGTGGGAGAAAATGTAGGGGAAAACCCTCAAATTCATTAAAAAAAAAAAAGCCAGGCTTACTAGTCGTTACTGGCCTGATAGATACTGGTGGAGCCCCCACCCCTACTCTGAGATTATGACCCTCAGATAACCTTCAAACCTGGAAACAAACTTCACTGCCCCTGGCACCCAAATATGGTTCACATTTCAGCCAAATGATGGACGAGTTTAGATGGTGAACTAAAACACTAAGGAAGCAGGCACACCTTAGAATAACCAACCATATGAAATCCAAAGGGCAGCATTTTCCCAGGCATAGAAACTCCCCAGGCGGGAAGGGATAGGAAAGAACAACAAAGGGGAAAAATAAGCACAGACAAGATGTGAGAAGACTGCTGTTTCATTGTGGGGATTGCTAATCAATGCCATGAATCAAAATGTGTATGAATTGTTGAATGGAAAATTAATATGCTCTGTAAATTTTCACCCAAATGACAATAAAAGTAAAAAAAAAAAAAATCTCTGAAGAGAGAATATCAACGGATCCCACCTTTCTTTGGATGTTTGTAGTGCTCTAATAGCACAAGATCTCAGATCTATGACATTTTATATATATTTTTTTAAGATCTGGCATCTTTTTTTTAGATGGGTGAAGGAAAAGATGTGGCTAGAAACATGTCCCCAGGAAGATCAACTACCTTTTCCATACTAGTAAGGAATTCAATCAAAATGTGTATTCTGAAATAATAAGTAATTTTGCATGCATGAATTTTTAAAAAAATATCCTTAATAGAACCATCACTATCAATTCTTGAACTGTTAAACCAGAGATAAGTTTAGATAATAAATAGTTGAATTTCTTGTTTCGTTACATGGTGGTTAAGTGATTAGATTGTGTGATATGATTAAGTAGAAAAAGAGTGAATAATGAGTTTTATTTAGAGAAGCAAACCATGTTGCCAAATTGACAACCAAATTATGTTTGTCCCCAACCCCCAAATTTTGGAAGTAACCTCTATGTGAATGGAAATTGAGTCAATAAATACGTTGGTTGTGAAAGAGGTATGAGTTGACCATTACTGTGTGTTCTCAGTAGCAAACAGAGGAGAACATTTGAAAAATACTGATGTCTATAACGTTGAGTTATTAATAGCGTTTACCAATTTCCTTCCCAAAGTCAGAAAGATTGCTCAAATGATCTAGTCTTTGAATCCTGGCTCTTTACTATATTTAGAGAATCTTGATTTTAGCTACATTTTAAGTCTATTTAACCCTACCATCACCACTATCATCACCATTAACACCAGAAAAAAGTACATGTGTAATCTTAGCAATTTGAGATTTTAAAAATTCCGTAAGAACTGACATTATAACCTTTCTTTGGTGTTTGTTTGAAGCAGTTAAAATACTTAGACTTTAGAAAATTTTCTCTAATAAGTCTTTCATTTTTTTCTTTGAAGAACTTGATCGTTCCACTTTTTATTTGTAAAAATTGTCTCTGTGCTTCTCTTCTTCAATGTCTATTATGTTTTATTATTGTCATTCCATAGTTTTCTTTTCTTCCTTTGTTTGAGGGCTTCCTGTTTTTGTTTTCTCCTCCACTCTTTTCAGGCGGCATTCCGTTTTGACTTTTTTAACCAATTGTTTTATTCTCCCCATTCTTTCCACCTTATTTGCCATATTATGAGACCATCGAGCCATAACTCTTTCTTTGTGCTTTTCTGAGCTCTGACTGGAAAGGGAAGAAAGGGAATTGCCGTCACTTGACTGCAGCAGCAGTCATTTTCCCTTCACAGTCAATGAAAACCCAAAGAACTAATCAGAGGAGTGTGAGGTAGACTGTGCTTGGGACCGTCCAGTCTCTTGAAAAACAGCATGATAGAACCATACCAAACCGAACCAAACACTATCCCAAGCCCCGCAAACTCGATCTGAAACAAAGCAGCATTTGACGCAGTCTGTATAAAAAACATTGAAAAGAAAGACAGACAACAGCCTACATTTCTAAATCTATTTTATTTTTATTCTGTTGGTCTTCTTCTGTAACTGCCCGAATACTCATTTCAAATGCTACCTTAACCTTTTCGCAATATATTTGACTACCTTAAGTGCTGGTTTAGGTTGAGGAGGTTATGAAGGAGCCCTGGCGGGGTAGTGTGTTAGCTGCTCACCGCAAGGTCAACAGTTCCAAAGCACCAGGCGCACCACAGGAGAAAGATGCGGCTTTCTACTCCTATAAAGATGTACAGCCATGGAATCCCACAGGGACAGTTCTACTCTGTCCTAGAGGGTCAACATCCACTGGGTGACAGTGAGGGAGAGGTTATTATGATTACTAACTTTAAAGCTATGAAAGGGTAAGAAATCTTTAAAAATCATTTTATTGGAAGGATTTAGAACTGGTCTTAATTACCACAGTGCCACTAATCCTTTGGGTTGTGTGTTGGAGAAGATCATATTATTAATTTTGATTATTCCAGCGGTTGAGAGTGAGATCTGAGCCATTTGTTGAACGTCTAGTCCATTTGTCTTAGAAGGTCCTGCTACTTTTAATATTTGGGCCCCGGTTTTGTGCTTTTTGGGTCTTTACCCTCTATAGTTGATTAACCCATGGAATCTTGTCCCCTTGGACACTAAAGCAAAATTAGATTGGGAGATGAAAGTTTGGGCATTGAATTATTATAAGTCCTTACCCTTTATATTACCATTTTTATCCCAAATACCTCAGAACTCCCCTTTCCAGACCTCTAGACCTGTGACGGTCGCTTCAAGTCAATCAGAGGGAAAAATGGTATGAGTGATATAAATTATCCTTTTCTTCCAATAAGATAAATGCTTGGCCTGTTCTCTCATGCTGCCATTCTCCTGGGCTACACTCAACCCCCCCTCCCCCAGCTTGATGTACATCTAGTTGTTCTTGTATACGTGGTCAGGTATATGTGCTCCTGCTTCTGACGCTCAACAGCCTAGGTCTCCATTAGCTGCCTAACTTTGGGGATTAGTGCCTCAATTGAGGTCACATGATGATGCTCTGACTCGGCCTTTGAGGCACACATTCAAATTTAAGCCTCAAGTTTCATTGATTCACTGACCTATCTCAACCTAAAAAAGAAAACAGAAATTATACCCGTCATGTAGCCATGTGGTAAGTATAGCTATCTGGGGGACCTTCTGCTATCGACAGCATATTTCTCCCACTGTCTAGTGACCACACAATGATTTATGGATCACAGAAGTTTAGAAGTGCCATGGGAATGTATAATAACTGCAAATATTCTAATAGTTATGGTAGTGGTCATGCCAGTAACATCTGCTCTAGTGGTTATGTGCAATGCATACCTGGTTTTGTAACACTTCATAACTCCTTTGGCCACTAAAGTATTAACCAAATGCTATTAATTGCACTTAGAATCAGAACTGGGATCATGCATGGGCTCCTGAGTTCAAATTGTTGGCTGAAGGCTTTAGCATCATATGCGTGATGAATGCATGGAAAAGTGCCGTCTCCCCGTGCTTGGAGTAACCCCAGATGCCAGGAATCAAGGACCTATCTCCCAAATCAAATTAGTTGGGTCCAAGCATGTTTCTGTAAGGTTGGGGAGATATTATATTTTTGGTTTAGACACAGTACTGGCCTTGTTTTGTGGATCGTGGAACTTGGGAACTGCCACATTAAAAGCAGGTATTATCCAAGTGTGATTTAAAATAAAAGTCGCTTCCCTTTTCCTGGTCTCATTTGTCTCCAAAATGCCAATGTTGTGTCTGGCTGAGTGGGAAGATCCTTAATCGAGTTTTTAATTTAAAAAAAATTGAAAACCAGCCATGACTTTAGCTCAAAAGTGCAAGAGAAGCACATCAGTGAGAATCAAGTGTCCGACCCCACATTGCCATAGCTAACTTTCTGAATTGTAGCCACTGAGACACTTCCGATGTGAAAGTGACATTGGCTAACCCGAACTGGGAACTGAAATTTGCAAGTTCCTCGCATGGCCCTTGGATCCCTGTGATCACTTCATTAGAAACCCAAATTACCAATGATCGCCAAAGCTTTTCATGATGCTGTCCTTCCTTCCAAATTCATGTTTATGCCATTGTTAATGAATCTCTCTAGTCACTAGAATGATAGTGTTAATTATTGCATATTTATGGAGGAAGCATCTGGCCAAAGGTGGAATTAGGCATCCAAACTTTGCAATGGTGTCGCTTTTTTCTGTTTCCTGAAATCTGTCGTCCTGTAGCCTGTCCTGCCCCTGGCTTAGTTGATACCACCCTAGTTTCTTAATTACCCCATGTTAGAAGGGATTCCCCCCTCCCCATTCAAACCCATTGGTTTCATCTCCTTCCCACCTTCTAAGTTGTCCCACATTCTGTTTTAACTTTCTTTTCTTTCTTTATTTACGTCCATTACAGCCAGATCTCTATGGCTCACAGATGTGCCCAGGGAAGCTCCCAGAGGTGCGTCACAGGCCCAAAAGAAGCTTGCATCAAAGTGCTTCTTTGAGATGTCATAGCACTGCAGCAGCAGGTTCATGTGTGTGCAGTAGAGTTGTTGCTTGGCTTATCTCACTTTTTGTTGTCATTCCCAAACTCTGGAGGCCCACGTCACACATTGTTTCACTGAGACTTCATGGGGCAAAGCCACATCCATTGTGTCCGGATGCACTCCAGGAATAGTGTGTCCACTTCTCTTTCCGAGTGGCTCTTGGGAGGTTGGAGATGAATACAGACTGGGGATATCTGCTGGCTGAACATATAGGAAAGAAGGTTGACTGCTCAATGCAAAACGAACCTCTCTAATGTTTGCAACTCTCCTTGGTTAGAATTCTAAATATCCCTTTCCTCTCTGCTCTAAATCACTGTAGATGACTGCAAATTCTCACAAGGTTTTTAGCATGGCTTTCATGGTCCCCAGGTTCTATGTGGCCAATGAAGTCACGAGGAGGGAAAGGGAGGACGGAAGAGAGGAGAAAGCTGCAACAAAAGTGCCCATAGCAGCACCGACAGTATTCTTTAGCAACTCAGTGGTTATTGCTCCTCCACTTTTCTATTTTTTGCCTCCTCCCAAACCCCCTTTCTATTAACGCTCTAGACCTGCCCCCTCCCCCATTACATTTAGTAACCACAGAGTATAAACTGACCAAGAGTGAGGCTCTCTTCTTAAGCCAAATGATTTTCTGATTTGCAACCTGCCCAGAAACAGCTTCTGTTACCCCAGTCGTCTAAAATTGATCGAGCCACATTATACTACGCTGTGCGCAAATTTAGAGAAGTCTTGCTATGTCTGCCCTGAGTCACCAGAAAAAAAAAAAAGCTAAGCCGTAAACATCATTTCATGGATGAGCAGAGTCAATATGGAGGTGATTTTTCATGTGCTTTTTTTTTCTATCATAGTCATACTCCCACCCACCCTTTTTTAAGTTGGATCCTAGTTTTACCTATGTGTTTTGATTAGAGAAGAGAATGATTGCATTGTTCAGTTACTAACTTGAAATCTAGACTGTAACTTCAGTTTCCCAAGTGTAATCCTACAGGTAGCATGGGCTTCTTGGTGAAGAACTGTACTGGAACGTGAAAATGCCCCTGCCGAATGTTCTGAGCTGCCATCCTCTCCCTTTGGTTGTCTACAGGGGATTCCTGAACAGTGGGCCCGATTACTCCAAACCTCCAACATAACAAAACTGGAACAGAAGAAGAACCCACAGGCTGTTCTCGATGTTCTCAAGTTCTATGATTCCAAAGAAACAGTTAACAACCAGAAATACATGAGCTTTACGTCAGGAGGTAAGAGGATGTCCAGGGCAGGCAAAGGCAAAGAAGCACTTTTCCAATCGGTCGAGCTCTTGGATGAGACCACTCTGGTAGGGCATTTGGAGTCAGTTCCAGCTTCTTGCCCAAGTGGCTTCAATTGAAAGATGAGTTCAACCTTGAGCGAACTGAAAGATGAGTCCGAAGTGGTGGCTTGCGGTTAAGAGCTTTATATTACATGAGGGATACTTTGACTCTACTCAGAACATTCATTGTTCAGCGAAGCAGTGTAGTTGTCCGTTTGGATCAGTCAGCAATCACAGTTGTTGCTCTGTCTCCTCACTGACAGGAAGACCCTCAGTCATGTAGGATTAGGTGCTGTGGCATGTTCTTGAAAGAAGTAGATGATAGGGCAAACCATGGGCTCTTGGGACTTATTTTATCCCATAGGCAGATTGATTTGCATCATGAAGACACACCGCAAATTTTTTGAGCAGCCCGCAAAAATCAGTCTGAAAAAGGAAAGAAACCATGTCTGACTCTCTAGTCATTTAATGAGCCATCTTAACCACCACATCTGGACTCGATTTGCTCATGTGTGAATCTGGTTTTTGCTGGGGTCTTTGTTCGTCACATTTGTACAATGAGCAATTGAAAAACATGTATCCCCCAATATGTTGATCATCACCTGGCTTGCCTTTCCTGACTACTTTATTTGTGAACATCTAAAGAAAGAAGAAGGCGGCCTGGTGGTGCAGCAATTCAGTGCTTGGCTGTCCATGGAAAGCTTGTGGGGCTGAAACCTCCAGCCACTCCCTAAGAGTTGGCTCCCTTACACCGTGGACGCCTCGCGGGGCAGCTCTACTCTGTCCTGTGGGGTCGCTCGGAATCAGAATCGACTGAATGGCAAACAACAACAGAGAAATTAGGGAATACTGTCATGAGTCACCCAACTCTAAAGAAAAATCTAGTTCATCACATGGGCATGGTGTGAACTAGACAAGATGTCTCTTAAAGACTAATACAAGGATACTCTTGAAACGTGAAGTATAGGGCTGTCGCATTTGGCGATATCAAAAATCAGAGTCCAAATTTGAGAGCACATAGCCATTCCACATGCTAAATGAGAGCATTTTTGTTTCGGAGCTGACGATTACTTGACTGCTACTATTCAGGGTTGAGAACATAATGAAGTCATCAAGGGCAGCTTTGTCGTGAGACTTCGTTTTGCACCTGGGATAGAACGTCTAGAAGAACCTGACGACACATCAAACAGTGCTTAACAAGAAAGGAGATCAGAGCCTGTGCTCTCGGGTTCCGGTTAGGGCCACAGGTGATCGGGACCAAAAAGGATTTCTCAAGGACATTCTAGTGTGACCGTGGACACCCTTCAGACGCCCAGAATCTATTCCTTACACCAAGTAGTCACAGCCGTTAAACCTTTTGGTTTCGTGTCTCGGTTCCAAAGATACAGTCCTGACAACTGACATAAGAACTTACTATAGAAATTAATAGCATTCTACAAAGTTGCGTGAAGCTTACCAGTTTTTCTTATAAATATTTTACTGGTCGGGTGAGGCTAATAGGAGAGCAGGCAGAGGAGGAGAGAAAAGGAAGGAGGGGGGTGGAGGGGTGAAGGAGGAAGAGAGAGCAAGTAACCAAGGAGAAGAAGCGGATGCAAAGGAAGACAGGAAAGAGAGGGGGCAGAGAAGCCGTGGATTTAAGTCTATGTTGTACTGTTGTGAAGTGCCTGCCAGTCGGTGTGGACTCCGAGCTACCTCTGCACAACACAATGAAACACTGCCCGCTCTCACAGGTGCTCTTATGTTGGAGCCCTTTGTTGAAGCCACGGTGTCAAGCCACCTTGTGTAGAGCCGCCACCTTTTGCCTTACCCTCTGCTTTACCAAGCATGATGCCCTTTTTCCCCTGGGCGTAGTCTCTCCTGATAACATGCCCAAAGTACATGAGGTGAAGTCTCGCCATGCTCATTTCTCAGGAGCATTCGGGCTGTGCATCTTCTATGACATAATTCTTTTTGTTAGTTTTCTTCTGGCAGTCCATGGTTTTCAATGTATAGAATCCTGCTATTAGGAGTAGATAGTCTTGACATCTCCCCGTACTTGGGGCCTTCATTAACATGTGAAACGTGGCACAGTGAGAAGGTGATGAGGTTGTAATGATGTGAGCTATTTTAAGACAAACCAATGACGTCATTTGGCATACCTATTATCAAATTGAGGATTTCTTTCTGGTCAAAGGCATGCAGTTTGGTGGCTCTGTTGTTTGTGGAATGCAGCTGTCTTTATGATACCATGTTGGCTTCTTTATTCTCACTTTGCAGATAAGAGTGCACATGGATACATAGCAGCCCATCCTTCGGTAAGTGAACCATGCACAACTGTCTGGTGTGATTGGTTTTGCAAGGGGTCCAATGTAAACGGCACATTCTTCAATTGGGGGGTTGTCTTTTTGTACTCAGAATAGTGCCTGGAAGATTCATCCAAGTTACTGTGTGTCTCACAAGTTTGCTTCTTTTTATTCCATGGTATGCTTCTGTTTATTTCACAATTCCTTTAACCAGTCACCCTTTGAAGGACCACAGGACTCTTTCTAATTTCCTGATTGTTGTGAATACAGCTTCTAGGAGCTTTGTTCCTTACGTGCAAGTCTGCCTGCGCATGCAATTGCTTTCATTTCACTTATATAACCTTCTCAATTCTAATAACAGCAGTGTCTTTCTATTGAATATATGCAATGTACCAGGCACTGGACTAGTATTTTACATGCATAAATACACTTAACTCTTTCTTACAATTCAGTGTCCTGCACCCTCCTATTGTTGCCATTTCACATATGGGGAAACTGAGGTTTGGAGAGATGAAACAATATGCCCCAGGTCACACCACGGTACTAACTGTCTCTTTTTCAATGTCTCTTGCTCCAGTAAACTGAGGCACAGAAGGGGAAGTGAATTTACCTAATTGCAAACAGCTAGTTTTAGCAGAGAAATTACTAGAACATAAGTAAATGAATTCAATGTCCTTAGATGTGCTGGGATCCTCAGAAAGACTATGCATATACATTAAACAGAAAGTGATCTATCTTATGCAGGTTCTCACTGTGGTTTAACTTTTATATCTCGATAGAAATTATTTTCTGCCTCATTGACTTTCTTAGTGGTGAACTAATAGGTACTAGCACATTAGTGAAAGTCACCTAACCACTTGCTTATCCAGGGTCATGGATGGCCAAGTTGATTCTTCCTTTTGTAGAGGGCAAATGCTGGCTGGCCTGATGGTAGCCTTAGCAGTCAGGCTGACAGCAAAACATTAATGGTAAAGAGTGAAGGCTCTGGACAAAGGTGTTTATTAGTCTGTGATAAAATGGCATGGAGGCCACATCTGAACTCCAGCTTCAGTAGGGAAGAGAACACAATGCCACACTCAACCACAAGGCAGAGGTCAGATATGTTTCCACCGCTTATCCTTCTTGACTATATTGTGATACCAGCCATCACTCCCACAACACTCTGCTGGATTCAATAATTTGTGGCAATGACCACACACGACTTGCTGATAATACTCATAATGGGAAAGTTAACAAAGGAAGTTAAGCCCGGATCAGAAAGCATTTAAAAAATGCAGCCCTTCAATCAGCAAGAGCATCCCTTCTCAGCCATGCCAGCAGCCAGGTCTCTTTCTAGCCCTCACCCTCTCAGGCACACTACCTTTTGGCCTTTGCTCTGCTTGGCAAGTGTTACAAAGCTCCTTTAGTATTGGCAAATGGTCAAAGGGCACCTCATTTTGCAAACCAGCCTCTTGCCCAAAGGCACTCAGCTTTATTCATTCCATAGGCCAGGAAGCTTGCAACACTGCCTCTAGTTCTTAGCACTTCTCCTCCGCTCTGTGTCATGGTCTCAGCATAGCTTCCCTGCTCTGTCTCATGGTTTCAGTGTTGCTCCTCTGCTCTGTCTCATGGTCTCAGTGTTGTGGCCTCTGGTGTCTCTGTTGCCTCTGTCACTTCAGGCAGGTGTCTCCCACATGCTGCCCTGGTGCCTTTTCTTTCTCGATCATCATGATACTCCTTCTGAGATGGCTTACTTTTATACCCAGCAGAATGGCAAAAATGACCAATCATTGAGTTAGGGTCAACTGCACTGTATTTTCAGTGACTAGGGGGGAGTTACAAAGCCTATGGATAAAAGAGCAGTACCAAATAGTTACACTTCACTACAGCTGATTCCTCCATTTATCAGTTGCTTGACTTTGGAAAAGTGACTTTGCTTCTGTCATCCTCTTTCCTCACCTATAAATGACAATAATAGTATCTACCTCCTGGAACTCAGGTGATTATTAAATATGATAAGTAACATAATGGACTTAGTATGGTACCTAACACATACTATGTGTTTACTAAATGTAAGTTATAATTTTTATATCTCAAACAACAACAACAAAAAAACCCTCACTTGGCACATGTGAACCTTGTATGAGGCCCAGCTCAGATTCCCCCAGACAGAACAGAAGGCGGCTCTTCCATTGTCACTCGTCATCTCCTCAACTCACCCTTTAAAGACTGGCAGTTTTCTGGGCCATTCTGAAAACCATGCATGAAGGGGGAGGTATTATGATACACACCTGACATCCTTTGATTCCATTAATAGCATAGTTTTGTACTACCTGCTAGGTACCCTAGCAACGAAATCTTTGTTTTTGTTTTTAGGTAGATCAGGTATGCTAAACACTAACCTGCTAGAAGGGTCTGCATATATTTGTTTTGCTTTTGGTTAACAATTTTTTATTGCCTAAAACATTAGCCTTTCTTTGGAGTTCTTACTTCTATTGGTTTTGCTCATAGAATTATCTTTTTAAATTATACAATAGCCAAAGCATCTATCAAATCTGAAAAAGTAATGGCCTTATTTTTTATTGATAAGCTAGATATTCGTTTCTTTAACATAATTTATCAATTCCCCCATCATAACCAAGTTTAGTGTTCTGTCTAGTGGAGGAAGAGAAGATGTGAATGAATATCAAGAAGTGAGATATAAAATGGAATTATGTTTCCCCCAAAACAAATCCACTGCTATGGAATCAATTCTGACTCATAGTGACCCTATAGGACAAGGTAGCATTGCCCCTGTGGGTTTCTGAGAACAACTCTTTACAAGAGTTGAAAACTTCATCTTTTCCGGAGGAGTGGCTGGTGGTTTTGAACTGCTGTCCTCAAGGTTAGTAGCCCAACGCATAAACACTTTAGGAGAACAGAGTAACTTAAAAATGGAGGAGTACACCTAGGCCCCTCCTTATTGTTCCAGGGGGAGGTTGCACTTCTCAATGCTTCTTTATTTGCTTTTGAAAAGCACTCCCAGTAGACCTGGCTATCTTACAGGATCTGCCTTAATGTGATTGACTACTTCTTGCAGGCATAGCCTGCACAGATCACAAGCTCTTGCATCCCGTGTAGCCTGGGAGAGGATTAACATAGAAGCAACGGTGTACTCACTAAGGCTATAAATGAATGGCCAGATAATTCGTTTTTAACTCAGAAATACTACCCCGTGTCGAAGCACATCTGCTTTGCTGTTCACTGTGGTAGCTTCTTTGATCTTTGTGTATTCCATTCTGGGACTTCGGCTTCCACTTGACGCTGATTTTTTTAAATCAACATTTTTGTTGTACGCAAGCTTGAGGATGAAATAATCTATTTAGAATCCTGCCCTGGGATTCTTAAGTGGGAAGTGAGAGCAATAATATGATGTGCAATAATGTCATGTCTGAGCAACAGCCACATTCCTGACAATATGAGAACAACAGACATTACAGGGTCTATGTCTGTAAGAGAGCCAGTGTGTGGCCCTGAAAGACTGCACTTTTGATTTGTACTGTAGTCTTTGTTCATCTATATCGGTAGCTTTTTTTATGTCGTTTTTCATCAGAAATGCTTATTGGTAAGGTCTAGTAAAGGAGCCCTGGGGCCCTATTGGTTACTTCTTGGGCTGCTAACTGCAAGTTCAGCAGTATGAAATCACCAGATGCTCCATGGGAGACAGACTTTCCACTTTTGTAAAGAGTTAAAGTCTCAGAAACCCATGGGGGCAGTTCGACCCTGTCCTGTAGGGTCGCTATGAGTTAGAATTGACCCAAAGGTAATGAATTTGGTTTTTTGGTTCGGGGTACAGGTTCGGGGTTCGGGGTTATGCTTTGGCCTGCTAACCACAAGGTCATCAGTTTGAAACCAGCAGCCACTCTACAGAAGAAAAATGAGACTTCTACTCCCATGGAAATGTAGTTTGGGGAACCTACAGGGGAAGTTCTACTGTGCCCTCAGAATTGACTCAATGGCTGTGAGTTCAGGTTTTTAGTTTCTTTTTTGATGGGGAGGGGTGGCTAATAAAATTCAGATTCCAGGGCTCCGTCTGAAGAGGCATTCTGGGATATAACCCTCGAATCTGCGTTTTAAACAAGAAACTCATAAACAGAAGCCTATATTGCTGCCCACACCACCACGACCCTGCCCCTTCAACTACTCTTAAAAGGCTCATTTTTTAAAGGTTTTCTAATAATCCCATTAATCCATCCTTGGATATGAGAATGTTTTCCATTTGAAAGAATAGTGAGGAAAGTAATGAATGTTAAGGACTAGGGAACTCAAAAGGACAAAATATTGGGTGATTCGACTTCTATGAACAGTATTCTAAATCAGTGGTTCTCAACCTGTGGGTCGCGACCCCTTTGTGGGTCGAACAATGTTTCACAGGGGTTCACCTGATTCATAGCAATAGCAAAATGACAGTGATGAAGTAGCAACAAAAATAATGCTGTGGTTGGGGGGTCACCACCACACGAGGAACTGTAAGAAAGTCACAGCATTAGGAAGGTTGAGAATCACTGCTCTAGAGGAATGCAGTAGCAACAATAGTTTTGTCAGTAGTTACCAGGGGCTAGGACCAATGCAGCATACGGAAGATAACTAAAGTGGTACTGGGTTTCTGTTTGAAGTGATTATATGGATCTTTCCCTCACTGCCATCAAGTCAATTCCGATGAATAATTATCCCATAGGACAGACTAGGATCATCCCTGTGTGGGTTGCTGAGATTGTAACTGTTTATGGGAGTGTCTTTAACAAAATCACCATCACAGAAGGTCATCACAGAGCACTGTAAGGACCGTTAATATGATAGGTTGATAGGAAAGGTAGATTTGTGTGTATGTGTGTGTAGGCATGAGACGAGACCTTCCACTCACAAATGACCTTTTAACAAATGATCTGCAAAAATTGCCCCAACCAAACTCACTGTCATTGAGTTCATTGCAACTCCCAGTGACCCTATACGCCAAGATAGAGCTGCCCCTGTGGGTCTCTGAGATGGTAACTCTTGATAGGGATAGAAATCCTCATCTGTCTCTCACAGACTGGCCGATGGTTCCAAAGTGCTGGCCTTGCAGCTAGCAAGCAGCCCAATGCTTAACACCACTATTTTATGTCTACAGAGCATCATTGGCATCATATATTATGGTGTACATTGCCATGTATACTGTAGACTGGTTAAAATAGCAACTTTCTGAACATGTATTTTTATTACAATGTTTGTAAAAAGTAAGAATGACATTTTTCACGTGGATCTCATCTAGTGATAATCAAGCATTGACCTATGTGTTGCAGTGCTACCTGTCATTCAAGGGGTTACCAGTCAATGGTATGGGCCAAGAAACCTCAATCTTGCCATTGCTACCAAGGCCATTGTTAGTTTGTCACAGGCTGAGCATACTGTCACTTGTGGAGGCCACATGATGCATTGTGTCTGATGCATTAAAGCACCCGAAACATTTATTTAAGTATAGTTTTGCTGTAAACATTTTGAGATTTTTTTGTAAGTACTGCTTTTGAAATTTTGGGGATACAAGTTTTTCAACTTGTGGTTAATTATAATTTCTTAGCAGTCATTGGGAATACCTGAGAATTCTTGAGTAATAGACAAATCTGACCAACAATTTGGTTTTTAGCTTAATGAAATTTATATAAATATTCCATTGAAAGGACTAACTAGTTAAGTTGGGGGAATGGTGTGGTCCACAGACATTGAATTCGACATGAATGAATTTACATTTCATGGGCTCTTTCGGAGCCGGTGATTTATTTCTGATCTCAAGCTCAGAACATCTTTATAAGCTTGCCAGCTCTGAGCATACAGTTCGTATTTCCTAATGAATTAAATAGTCCTGTTGTGTCTCCATTAAAAAAAGGAGCTCTATGCAAGTTATGCCCAGTCAAGATTTGGTCAAATATTGATCCCACTTGACAGAAAAGATTTCAAAACATTATGAAATGTAATATCAAAGCAAATAGGCCCCCCAAAAAGTGCCCCAAGGAACTGCAAGTCTTTCACAAGAAGAAACTAATGTTTTTGTGGAAACATAATATAATTGATATATGTTGTTATTCTCACAATCTCAATACAATATACTAGAGTAGTCCAGTTATTATGGCTAAACTAAAGTATACATGTAAGTATATACATAAGAAAAAGAATTATCATTTAGTCATATAAACTTCATTTTATTAAGCATTCAGCATCTATGTCAGGTCAATCAAATAGTCTTTCATATATACAAAAATCCTGTTGTGCCTTCCGTGTTAAATTTGATCAATCTCCTGTCATATATATGGCTATCCCTAGTATACCAGTTTAGCTTTATATTTAAAGCCAGGTTACATTTTAAATCACAGATTATGGTCCTCCTGTGTAAGAGTCTAGTCTCGAGCTGCCGACATCTGCCTCTGAAGTTCTGTCTTTAGTGAGTATAAATTCCTTTTTGGAACTAACCTGAACCAAGTAACCCAGAGAGAAATCATTAGTTTATGGAACAAACAAATATATGCACATACCGAAAGAAAACAATACCAAAAACCACCACCTAAACTTGCTTTCAGGAGTATCGCAATATAAGCCATATAAAGCAAACTCCTGAGCCAATTCTGATACACAGCAACCCTGTAGGACAATATAGAACTGCCCCTGTGGGTTTCTGAGGCTGTAAATCTTTTTTTTAATTTGTTACAACTTGCAATTTAATTTTCATTAAAAACAAAATAAACAAAGAGCAAAGTTTTAATTATATGAAATACATTTTTTGTCATTGTATCTTTTTCTCCCAACCGTTTTATTGGCATATAATCCACATATCCTAAAATTTAATAGTTTAATCATATCAAGAAGAGTTGTACAGTCATTGCCACAATCCATTTTAGAACATTTTCTTCTTTTTTTTAGCTCACTGTTATTAGCGCTCCAATTCCCCCCAGCCTCCCCTGCCATGCCCTCAAGGAACCATTAATCCAATTACTGTCTCTCTAGATTTACCTTTCCTGGATTTCATTCACAAAAACCTTATGAAACAACAACCTAATCACAATAGCAAAAGAAAACAGATAAATACCTCAATTGAAAAGAAAACAGAAAATATTAAAAACTGGAATAAACTTAAATGTAAGTCTTTATGTGAGGAGACAGCCATAGCTTTCTTCTGAGGAGTGGCTGGTGGTTCGAACTGCTGACCTTGCAGTTAACAGCACAACACAGAACCCACTGTATCACCAGGACTCCAGGCAGAAGTCATAGATGTAACTCTAAATTGTATAGTTATCACATTAAAACAAGTTTTTAAAAATGGGTGAAATACAATGTACCAGGGGAGCTTCAAAAAGTACATGGAGACCATTCTTTTATCTTCTTTATTCCATTTTCCCACAAAATCTTTGACGCTCCTTTGCATAGTTTAATTCAGTATTCCTCAAATGAGTCCTTCAGGCATAGTGCGTCATGCCTTGGGCTTCTAACTGCAAGGTCAGCAGTTCAAAACCTCCAGACACTCCACAGGAGAAAGATGAAGCTTTCTACCCCTGTACAAATTTACAGTCTCAGAAATCCATAGGGGCAGTTCAATGCTGTCCTGTAGCGTCACTGTGAGTCAGCACTGAGTCGACAGCAGTGAGTGTTTGGTCTCTTAAAATATCTAAAGCATTACCATGCCAACATGTAAGCAATATAAAAAAGTGTTAATGAGATCTTTTAGTTCAGTATCGTGAAAATAGGAAATAGCAGCGAATACGTATTTCATATGTACTACACATCTCAATTCAGAGTAACCACCTGTGAAGTGCGCAGTAACCAACTGTGGCTTGAGGCCGCCATGTCATCTAGGATAGTGCAGGCCTATGGCATAGCCCAGGGGCTGCCCCACTTGATCGCAGGCCGGAAGATCACCAGAAAAGGTGGAGGTTTGTGTCCACCCAGAGGCCTCGTGATCATCTTTTGAAACATCAGTCACCGAGAACCCCCTGGATCACGATCCTACCCAGACACTTGGGGGAGTGTGGGGTCACCATGAGTTGGGATCGACTCACAAGGCACTGTGAGAAGCAGGGGTGGACCTGCATCAGGAGACACACCCCGAGAGTATCTGCGGAGCCGAGTTAACATCTGGTCTGCAGCTATGTTCTGGTCCTGAGGCAAAAAGTAGTTCTGCAGAAATTGACAAACTGTTCATCAAAAAGGGGAGTGTTTGCCCACTGACAGACAAGGCTTTAACAGCAAGGCTTTTGATGCATTAAACGCAAAAACATCGAACTTTAAAATGTTTAGCTCGCTCAAGTAGAAAGAAAATGTTTTGGCGATTATGATGGCAACATATGTACAAATGTGCTTGATACAATTGATGTGTGGATTGTTCTAAGAGCTGTAAGAGTCCCCAATAAAATGATTTATTAAAATTAAAAAAAGTAGCCCAGGGAACATTGGAAAGAACTATTTTGTTTCATTTTTAAATGATCTTAACTGTTTAGTTGACATCATTTGAGTACCATACAATTCAACAGTTTCATTATATTGAAAAGAAGGAAGCATCCATCACCACGATTTTAGAACATTGTCTTCATTCTTGTGTCAATTTATTGTAAGCTCTGCATTTCCCCTCCACTTCTGCCATAGCCTTCAGAAAATGTTCATCTAGTTACTGTCTGGAGATTTACCTATCCTGAATTTCATATAAGAAAGTCATATGAAAACAATGCTAACAACAACAACAAAAAAACCCCACAGGGAAACGTTAATCCAAAAGAAAGCAGAAAGTAATAGGTGGAAAACGTTAAAATGGCTCAAAAGGGGAAACAAATGGTATAATGCGAAATTTAAACCTAACTGTATTTGCAAGAATTCATTTCCCAACACATGCTGAGGACAATATTATTCATATCATTGGGAAATGAACCAAAAGCATCCAGTGCGTGTTTAATCCATATGGGGACTCTGTAAATGGATTTTAGGCTTTTACTGCCATCCATAACCTTCTGGCAAACGAGATGCTCAGCTCAGATTTTAAACTCTAATACAGTCCCCCTTCTGATCATGGATTTTATTGTTAATAACTCTTTGTTCACAGTGGCTTGTGTGCTTTTTCCATGCAGACTTAGTTGTCTCACTTAGATGTCTGCTTCTTTGAGACCCTTCTTTAAGACCCTAGACACTATTCTTTCTGCTAGCTGGGTGCCATCTGCTTTCTTTACCACACTTTGCTATAGCATCCATATCTTCAGGGATCACTTCATGAAGGCAAGTATGGAGAAGGACCGCATCATAGAAGTCATTAAAAAAAACTTTCTTTCTCTGTATGTGAATGGGTCCTCCCCTCCACATTGCAGATGGTTCTGCTCATCTGAAAACACTGCCATTCTTTCTTATCCTAACATGATTTCATGTCTGAAGAACAAACGAGATGTTAATAGCTTGTCTTCTCCACTTTGTTTTTGTCCCAAGAGTACCAAAACTGCATCTGAGCCTCCTTTGGCTCCTCCTGTTTCTGAAGAAGAAGATGAGGAAGAGGAGGAGGAAGAAGATGATAATGAACCTCCACCTGTCATTGCACCGAGACCAGAGCATACAAAATCAGTAAGTCAAGAGTGACTCTTCCCTAAGTCTAAAAACGCCCAGCAACCAGTAACTCGTGAGCATCTGATGTGGGTCCTAACAGAAGCGTCTATCACTCTGGTTTGGTGGTTGCTCTTCTGAGGATATGAGATTGGCACAGGAAATAATCAGAGAACCGCACAAAACAATATATAACTCAACTTGATATCCCAAAACTACTGCAGAAGTCAAGGCAGGAACACATCCATGTGAACCATGTATGATGAACGGCATAAGCAGGGGTACTAAGACTGACCTGCCTGTTGTTAGGTACCATCCAATCAGGCCCAACCCGCTATACTGTACTACAGAGCAAAACAACGAGCAATGAAAGCAAAGAATTCACACCACTGAATTGGAAACTCCCAAAGACCAAGGTCTTTCAAGGTCTTTCAAGGGCCATGTACTTGAAGCGATTTAAAGTTCTTCTCTAATAGGTTACTTTTTTGTTTAGTTTTTATTTTATTGGGGGCTCACACAGCTCTTATCACAATACCATATGTATATCCATTGTGCCAAGCACATCTGTACATATGTTGCCATCATCATTTTCAAAACATTTGCTTTCTACTTGAACTCTTGGTATCAGCTCCTCATTTTTTCCCTCTCCCATGTCCCCTTGATAATTTATAAATTATCCTTTTTTTAAATTCATTTCTTCAACCAACCACTGTCTCCTTTCACTCACTTTTCTGCTGTCCATCCCCCTGGGAGTGGGGCCATATGTCAATCATTGTGATTGGTTTCCCCTTACTCCGCCCTCCCCATCCTTATCCTCCTAGTATCACTGCTCCCCTTATTTTCCCTGAGGGGTTTATCTATCCTGGATTGCCTGTGTTGTGCGTTCTTTTTTTTTTTTTCTTTTAGTCATTTTATTGGGGACTCATACAACTCTTATCACAATCCATATACCAATTGAATCAAGTATGTTTGTACATCTGTTGCCTTCATTCTCTTCTAGACATACCAGAATACATGTACTGGTCTAGTCAGATTTGTAAGAAAGAATTGGAGTCATGGTAGTGGGGGGTGGGCAGGGAGGAAGCATTAAAGAGCTAGAGGAAGGTTGTGTGTTTCATCAGTGCTATACTGCACCCTGCCTGACTGGTTCATGTCTTCTTTGTGGCCCTTCTGACAGAGGAGTCCAATTGACTATTGATGGGCTTTGGGTCTCCATTCTGCCCTCCCCCTCAGTCCCATTGATATGATTTTTGTTTGTGTGTTTTGGGTCTTTGATGCCTAATATCTGTTCCTATCGACACCTCATGATCACACAGGCTGATGTGCTTCTTCCATGTGAACTTTGTTGCTTCTCAGCTAGATGGCTGCTTGTTTATCTTCAAGCCTTAAAACCCCAGACGCTAAATCTTTTGATAGCCGGGCACCATCAGCTTTCTTCACCACATTTGCTTATGCACCTGCTTTGTCTCCAGCAATCATGTCAGGGAAGGTGAACATCACAGAGTACTGTGCTAGTAGAACAAAGTGTTCTTTCGTTGAGGACGTACTTGAGTGGAGGACCGATGTCTAGCTGCTGCCTTAATACTTGATAAATAAATAAATACATGTACATAGATCTATTCCCTTGTCATTATAAATAAATGCATTTACATAGATACATGCCTGTATTTAGACCTCTATAAATGTCCTTTGCCTCCCAGTTCTTTCCTCTGTTTCCTGTTACTTTCCTCCTGTCCCACTATCATGTTCGGCCTTCATTTAGGTTTCCTCTTTGCTACATTGCCCTTGATTGAGCCCCCGCAATCATCCTATGCCCTCCTGGCCATCAATTTTAGATCACTTATTCTTCCCTTGTCCCTGGGTTTATTCTCACCCCCGTCCTTTTCCCCCACCTCCTCCTCTCCCGAGTTCCCCCGTAACCGATGGTCCCATTTTTCTCTCCTCTGGATTGTTCATCCCACCCGCCTATCTTGTCCAGATAGACATGCATAGACAGTAATACACACAAAGAAAAGAAAAGCAAAACGTAACAAAACAAGAAGACAGAAAAATAAACCGACAACAGCTAATACAACAAAACAAAAGAGAGATAGAAAAAAGAAAAACCAACAGCAAAAACAGAAAAGCCCTCAAACAGGTCCAGGTCTGTCCGTTGACCTTTATGAGTGTTTTCCAGTCGAGTCTGCTGGGGTGCCATGCCCTGGTCCCAAAGTCCACCTTTGGCATTCCTTGGGGTCTTCGTTTTTGCTCCCCTTTCTGTTCCACTGTACACCCTTAGTGTTTCACCCCAGTGCGGTGGGGTATGTTCAGATTGGGCACATCTCCCACACTGTGTCCCCATTGCTGGCCCCCTTAGCACTATGTGTCAGTGAGGGAAGTCTTCCTGTCTCGTGGTGGGACCAGCCCTATGATACTCTCTGTGCATTGGCTGAGGAGGAGTATTGTCCTCAGGGCTTGGTGGGCCAGGATGTGTTCCACTCTCTCTCCTTCCCTCTTTGTTGGCTCCTGATCAGACGCCCCCCACTTCATAACCTGCAGTTTCAGTGCTGTCCACTGAAGTGCATTCCTCAGCAGTGAGGGGTGCCCACGTAGTTGGGATGGGGGCCGGCCCCACAGACCTCTCTATTGGTTCTAGAATGCCACTTATTTTTTTTAGAATAGTGGTTCTCAACCGATGGGCCTCAGCCTCTTTGGGGGTCGAATGACCCTTTCACAGGGGTCGCCCGATTCATAACAGTAGCAAAATGACAATGATGAAGTCGCAACGGAAATAATTTGATGGTTGGGGGGTCCCCACAACATGAGGATCTATATGAAAGAGTTGCGGCATGAAGCAGGTGGAGAACCACTGCTCTAGAAGATGCATTAGTAGCCTCCCCGTCTCTGGCCTGCTCTCTTCATTGCCCAACCTTTCCTCTGCCTCTGTCTTTCAGATCTACACTCGCTCCGTTGTTGAATCCATCGCCTCACCAGCAGCACCAAATAAAGAGGTCACGCCACCTTCCGCAGAGAACGCCAATTCCAGTACTCTGTACAGGAACACGGAGCGGCACCGGAAGAAATCCAAGATGACCGATGAAGAGATCCTTGAGAAGCTCAGTGAGTCTGGGGCTTTGTTTTCCCAGAGAGGCTGCGCGAGCCTGCTTATAGGAACTCTAGGCTCCCTGGAGCCATGAGACGACGGGTCGACAACGGTGCACGCCAGCTTGCTTTCTTCCTCACACTTCCAAACTTTCTAGAAATGAATTCTTTTCACTGGAAAAATCAGTGAAGGCAAATGCTTGACATGGATTCAGTAATAGGTCTTACTAAGATTCCCAAAATCCAACCCACTGCCATTGTGTCGATTCTAAAGACACCTTCTTAAAGAAGGAGCCCTGGGGAAAGTGGTGACGTAGGGCTACTAATCACCAGGTCAGCAATTCAAACCCAGCAGCTACTCTGAAGGAGAAAAGGGAGGCTTTCTACTCTCAGGAAGAGTTAGTCTTGGAAAACCCACAGGGGTGTTTCTTCCCTGTCCTACATAGGATCGCTATGTGTCCGAGTTGACGCAATGGCAGTGCGTTTGGGTCTTTCTGGAAAAGAGATGAAATCGTTTGTGGAAATATCTTGTAATGAGACAGACACCAAGGACCCACCCACTGATCAATCAGGACAGAGAAAGTGAATCTCAAAGGTCAACACAGCCCATCATCAAAACTGCTAGCCACAAACTTGTTCCCTGACTTTCGGAGGGTTTGTTTCTATGTGGCATGGAGGCTTGGACAGGCAATACTAGTAGCCCCCTTCCCACAGTATCATGACTGAGTAAATACTCATTTCTTCTCTTTTACAGCAGTGCAACCCTACAGTTAGCTTTCCGGGCCTAGAGGATGTGACATGCATGTACAGTCTCTGTTGCAAAGAGTCAGTGGTTCCTGATGGGTATTCACTAAACTCATATGGAAATGCATCCAACAAAATGCTGGTCACCAGCCAGGCGCCAATCTAACTCATACTCATCCTCCAAAACCCAGCTCAAGAGCCATCCCTTTGGGGAAAAAAAAACATGCAAAGCTCACTGCCGTACAGTCCATACCAATTATAGCGACTCTACAGAACCAGCCCTGTGGGTTCCTAAGACTCTTTATGGGAGTAGAACACCTCATCTTTCTCCCAAGGAAAGAATGGTGATTTTGAACTGCTGACCTTGTGGTTAAGCAGCTCAACACCTACCACACTATTTCACCAGGTTCCTTATTTTTCCTCTTCGGAGGGGCAGGGGGCGGTGGGGCGGGCGGTGGCTTTGCTTGGTTCTTTAAGCATAGCAAATAGCACACAATCACTAGTCTGCCCTAAACTGTGGTTTCCTAAAGGGCAGGCAGTACTGCGGCCCCCCTCGTACCTCCCCCCTCCTCCCCGCAGAATGTCTTAGTAAAATGCCTGGCATGTAGTAAGCACCCAATAATTGCTGGACATCTAGCAGTGCCTGTAGAATTTTATTATGATCATAACTTAATGGCTGCTACTGACATCTAGTGGAGAGAAGCAGCATTGCTTCTGAACATCCTAAAATACACAGCAATTTCCTCTTCCTTCCCAGGCTGCTTGCCCCTCCCTGCAACACAGTTGTCCAGCCTCAAATACCGACAGTGCTAAGGTTGAGAAGGATTTGGAAGGGCAAACATTCAGTGAGCGCTCAGAACTGGAACTGCTGGACTTTGAACTCATTCATTTGTGTCATCAGTTTAAAAAATTTCATTAATTTCCCTGCACCCCCTACTCCCCAATCTCACTGCCATTGAGTCGATGCCTACTCATCATTATCCTGTAGCTCAGGGCTGAGCTGCCCTTGTGAGCTTGTGAGACTGGCACCCTTCATGGGATTGGAAAGCCTCGTCTTTCTCCCCACGGCTGGCTGGTGGTTTCCCACTGCTGACCTTGCAGTGCACAGACCGACTGGTAACCCCTATGCCACCAGGGCTCCTGTCGTTCATTTAAATTTGCTATAGAAACCTGTTGACTCACAGTCATAGTGACCCCACGTGACAGAAGAAGTGTTCCATGGGTTCCCTTGGTGGAAACGTACTGTTGCCATCGAGTCTATTGTAATCATGGCGACCCTGTAGGTGTCCCTGTACGTGACCCTGGTGGGTTTCTAAGGTTATAAATATTTATGGAAGCTGAAAGTGCCCATCTTTCTCTCCCGGATCTGCGGGTAGGTTTGAATGGCTGCCTTTGTGTTTAGTGTCACCACCACGGATTGTTAACAACAGCCATATTTGATCCACTGCAAAGCCCACTCATGTACTAAAATTAAACTCAAGTTTAATTTTCCCAACAATCCTTGCAGCACATCAGAATACTTTCATTTTAGGGGTGCATGAGGTTGAGGAAGCAAGTTACCCAGCTCATAAGTGGTAGCACCAAGATTTGCACCCAGGTCCGTCCGTCTTAGAAGTGTTCACTGTGTGTGTTCCCAACTTTGCTGCTGCACTTCCCAGCTATCGATTTGTGAAGAAGGAGGAGGAGGGAGGAGGAGGGAGGAAGAAGGAGAAGAAGAAGTAGTAGTAGCAGTAGTAGGAGTAGTAGGAGGAGGAGTGGTAGTAGTAATAGTAGTGAAAGAATTACCCAAATCATGTAGGTTCAATGACAATGATTCAAACAATTGCCTCACTTTGCTCATTCACTTTCTACTTGTAGATATGACCTGTGAGATTATATTCGATTAAAAAAATACCTAACAGTTTCATGTTAGTAAAGATGGATTGCGGAGTATCCATTTCAAATCTCAGGAGTGCTGGTGGCTTAGTGAGTTACGCATTGAGCTGCTAACCACAAGGTTAGTGGTTCAAATCCACCAGCCACTCACATGAAGTAGGAACCACTCTACTCCTATAGAGAGTCACAGCCTCGTCTCAGAAACTCACAGAGGCAGTTCTCCCCTGCCATATTGGGTTGCTGTGAGTGACACCAACTCAGTAACCCCGAGTTTGGTCTTGGCTTGGGGTTTGCTCAGGTAGCAGGACTAAGTGAAATTATAGACCCCCCCAAACCAAACCCATTGCCGTGAGTTGATTATATCTCCTAGGAACAGCCTCAACATTCTTCCTCAGAATGGTTGGTGAACTTGAACTACTAGCCATCAGGTTACCATTCCAAAACCACTGACAGTGCTGCCAGGACTGAGGTAGATTCAAGGCACTGCCATCGAGTCTACGCCAATCTCTGATAACCCTGTAGGGCAGAGTAGAACTGGTTCAGTGGGGTCCTGTGTCTAAATCTAGACAGAAGTAAAGCCTTTCTCCCTTGCACAGACTGGTGGCTTGGAACTGCTGACTTTGCAGTTAGCCTCCCAGTGCATAACCCACTGCGCCACCAGGGCTCATACTGCACAGTCCGGAGAATTGGTGTTTTTCGGCTCCCACACCCACATCACTCTGTCTGTGCTCTCCCACGCTCTCTCTCGCTTGCCGTGTACCCTTAGACAACTTATTTAACCCCTGGGAATCTCGCTTTCTTTCCTGTCAAATAGACATAAAATGTGGTTCGCAGTTGATTTTTAGATATCTGAAACTATGGTTAAGAGTATAGGTAGTGGAGTCATAAAGACCTAGATTCAAATCATAGGTCTAGCATGCCACCTTGGGCGAGATAACCTCACTTTTCTGGGCCTCCTTGTCCTCCTGTAGAAAACAGGATATGCATAGAACTAATTTCAGAGTGGAGGCCAGGTGGCGCTGTTGCCTAAGTATTCCAAGGTCAGTTTAAACCCACCAGCCTCTCTCTAGGTGAGGAAGATGAGACTGCTCACAAAGATTTCCTGTCCACAACGCTTTTTAATGTGATTGAACGATTCACTTGTATGATACGTGCATTATATGCCAATAAAACTATTAAAATTTTACAAATGATATGAACAGACCCCTCAGATATTTGCGCCTCAGAACAATCAACCAAACAAGACCAAAAAGGCATCATTTGCCCCAGAACAAGGTTCAGAAGGCAGGAAAGATGGGCTAATGGAACTGCAGAACCCCGGGAGGAAGTGGGGTTGGTGGGGTTACATTGCAGGGATTACAACTAACATCACAAAGGAAAAGAACATAGACGTAAAGTGCTGGATGGGAAACTAATTTGCTCTGTAAACTTTCATCCAAGCCACAACAAAATGTTTAAAATAAGACAGTTATAAGAAAGGGGGGGGGGGGGATTTATGATCTCTGAACCCTATTCTTAATTTAGTTTATTAACAAAAATAAAACATTCTTAATCTGTTCTATATCGGGCCACTGTGAATGTGAGGCCTCTCAAAAGCAGTGGGTTTTATGGGTAATGCCATAAAACTCCCTTAAAACACAGACCTACTGTCATCAATCAAGTTGATTCTGACCTTTAGGACAGGATAGAACTGTCCCTCTGGGTTTCCGAGACCATAACTCTTTCTGGGACTCCTGCAGGGAGTGGTTGATGGTATTTGAACTGCTGACTTGGCAGTTAGTAGCCCTGCTTAAGGACCGGCTATAACACCCGGGCTCCTTCACACACAATAGATGCTAAGAAGTGGTAGCTATTATTTTATTCCATGACTATTGTGCTTTAATAAGATGATAAAAAGCCTGGTAGTGAGTGCTAACTGTGCTGAAGTCTGAAACTTAGATGCAGACCAGCTTCGTACCTTTAGGCCAGGTCATCACTTCTCTGAACTTCACTTTCTTCCTCTGAAAAATGGAGCTGAACTACTTAGGTGCCTAAATGAGTTACAGTAAGATTATCAAGCATATCCCATAGTAATGTAAGGTTGTTATTGTTATGTTTACAAAATAAGAATGGGTATGTGTGTATAGACACGGCAAAAAAATGAGGACGTGGGATCTTACAATGGGACAAATATATTTGGAACCAAGAACCATTTTAGCTGAATGACCCTTGTGGAGGTTGGAGGATGGGCAGAGGAGCCGGTGATGAGACGAAGGGACAGGGAAAGGCCGGCAGTGGGTAGAGCGGTCTCCATAATGCAGACCATAGGGGACGCTGCAAGCACAGTGACAAGGAGGAAATGGCCTCTACTGAAACCTCCTCATCTTCTGTCTCAAGCAAGCCATTCTTCTTCTACTCCGAGACCGATGGCAGGAGCCAGACCCAGGGATTATTAATGCCTGCAATCAACACATTGGCTTTCCATTTTACACCAACAGATAGCCTGGGTCTGGCTTGTTCCCTGTGGTCTGTCTCGAGTTGTTGGAAAATCAAGAAAACCGTTCATTCAAGTGAAATTTGTCCAAAGAACGCTGACTGTCAGAAAAACTGTATAATGCAGAAAATTTGCCTTGGGCTTTCCTCTTCTGGGGCCCACCCTCACCTCCTCCTTTCAAAGCTCCCGAAACACCCAGCCCTCCGCACACAGTACTCTTTTTCCTAATGCCCCCTCAGGTAGAAGCCATCTGAACTTGGAGCATTCCACCTCCTCACTCAGGCATGCTAAAGGGATAATCTTGTTAATGGTGGGAGTCTGGGTTTGCTTAATATAGAGACTATATTGCTGGGCTTTTCCGCAACCAAAACCACATCAGGAACCCTGTTTTCAAATAGTAGCCTTTGGTGATTGCTCAAAATCTTGTAATTTAAAATGGATCGTTTGTTTCGTATTGAAGAATTTGCCCTGGTAGGAAATTGTTCTGGCCTTACTGTCTCCCCCACCCCCTTTTGTGTTCGATTTTGTGGGTTTTGTCACTTTTTACCCTGTTGTATTGTGGGTTGGTTTTTTTCTTTCTTTCCTGTGATTGATAAAAACCAGTTATGGTGGCCCTGCTCCAACCGATTGCTTGGAAAGCTGATTTTGTGATTCTAGATGGTAAACATCAGTAGGTGGCAGCAAACACTTTCCTGTGAAGGCATTTGGGTGTGGGGGACGCCATTTTATGACTAGCAGTTCAGTTGGGAAGCAGAATCACGCCAAAATGGTTCCCTTTTGGTAATCTTTTTGACAGAATTGTTCAGGGTGTGTGTGTGTGTTTGAATCCCCCTTAGCCTGAAAATACAGGTTGAATAATTTACTATCATCAAACCTCATTAATGGAACCCCACCCATTGGAATTGGTCATGATTCAGAAAGTGGCTTGGGCTGGAGTTTATTTACTTACATTCAGCCCGTGGAGAAACATTTCCTCAACAGCTTAATAGTGTAACTTTCTTAGAAGACTAGGACTTGTTGAATGAAACTCTATAGTCGCGGGACTTTAAAATCGATTCATTTTTCAAAAAGTATCCAGGCCTATGCCCATTTCAAACTGGCTGGAATAAGGCTGGCTGCCCTCTGGGATGGAGAGCGCTGTTAAGAAAACTTGAAAAACAAAACGGCACCCTAGAAATTGGTGAATTGGTGGCCTTGTACAGATATAGCTCAAGTCCAAGTTCTTCCCCTGGCCTCATCTTAAATGATGAGGAAGTTGCAAAAGCAAAGACCTGATTTTATTTCAATTTTATCCTATGTTCTCTGAGCTCTCGAGGTACTCCATACCCTTATTGTGCAAGACACTGAGGGGAAATGTAAGACACTTCCCTTCTAAATAACCCAAACCCCAGCTCCCTGCCATCCATTGAGCAGATTCCAAGTCATAGTGAACCTGTAGGACAGAGTAGAACTGGGTCTGTGGATTTCTGTGTCTGCAGATCTTTAAGGGAGTGCGAGCAGGAAGCCTCATCATATTCCTGCTACTCCCAAGGGGGATGTCAAATACAGAGATATAGGTCACTGGTATATTAAGGGAAAAGAGAGCAAGGCTGAAAGTGAGCGAGTGAGCAAGAAGGTACACTCACAGCACAGAGAAGGGACGCTTATTAACGTTCTCCAGAGGGATTAGAGAATACTTCTTAGAAGAGACAACCTTTAAGCTAAGTTTTTGAAGCATGACTCAGAACTTGCTGGAAAGACAAGGTGGGCAGGCTGCTCCAGGCATAGGTTATTAGTACCCCTCCAATTGATAGAGTACTGGTCATGATTTTAATCGAGTCTTATTTTTCAGTATGCATGATAGAAAACCCGAGGGTATTGGTCTATTTCTTATCTGTTATTGACCCTGGTGCCTTCATTTTCATTATCCACTTAAAGAAAATCAATTAATCCATTTCCATCTTTCCCTCTCCCTTCTCTTTCTCAGGAAGCATTGTGAGTGTTGGCGACCCAAAGAAAAAGTACACAAGATTTGAGAAAATTGGTCAAGGGTAAGTGATTGTTATGTCAGGTGCCAACAGATGAGCACCAGTCACATGTCTGGGAATCTAAGGACTGCGTGGATGGTGGTGATGTATGTGTCTCGTGGCATGGGTTTGTGGTTTGCATTCCCAAGAGTGGACTGGTGATTAACCTAGGAACATCACCGGCTGGAATCATCTGACAGTAAATTTTACTGGGGGTGTATTGCTTCCTTAATCTTCAAAAATTCAAACTGGGTTTACTAGGAAAGCCATAGGGTCATAGAAACGGCCAGCTTGTAAGAAAACCTGGGTTTTGGCTAGTCCTTCCTCTCTGTGTATGAATGTGATGGTTAAGAACTCATTGGATTGTCAAGCTGGAAAGTGATCGAGTGGGGCAAGGAAAACCCTAGCTTGGGACTGAGTGGACCAGCCATGGAAATAGATCAGCGATCCCTAGTGAGGGATACACCAAAGCTAACTTGCATGCTTACTGAAAATTAAGGTTCCAGGCACCACCTTGGCTGCACATTTGGTTCAGTAATCTGGGGTGGAGCCCAGGAGTCTGGACTTTCTGAAAGTTGTGCAGATAAACTTGATCATCAGCTAGATAAAATGTCTAGAGCTAAAATGGAAAGTCTTCTGTTCTCCACGTCAGCTGTTACTAGGCCTATTTTGCAAGCCTCCATATGAAACCAAGCAGGAAGCCCAAGTAGGCATCCACATTTGAAACAGGGGGAAAGTTTCGTTTCAAGAGAAATGAAGTGGCCTTTAGGGGTGCCCTTGAACTTGTATTGAGACAAGATATTCTGCTGTACCAACTACTGTGTGCCAGACACCAACATGGCAAGCCAAGGTGTCGCCTCACTGAGATGAGGGCCCGGAAAGGAAAAGCTAGAGCTAAGGTACCTGCAGAATTATGCTAGCTCATCAGTCAGTAGAGCCTAGGTATTCTAGGATCAGGGAATCCCAGGGAATGCTTTCCCTAGGGTTCTTAGTCCCGCCAAGTATACATTGTATAAAAGATTGACTTCTTTGGACTGAGTTGTACATTTCCTGAGCTTTTATTCTAAGGGTTCTTTTGAAGTGGATAACTTTGTTTGGAATATAAGGGAATTGATTGACATAGTGCCTGCCTAACCAGCGGCACTCTTGAGGGTTTTGTCTAGTGGAAATGCCAGTTAGACGACACTGAGAGGGAGAAAAAACCTGTGGGAGAAATAGATGCCCAAGTGATGTTTTCTAGTAGCCACTAGATAATTCAAATACAGTTCCGTAACTATTGCTACTAGGCGCAGAGACACCTTCATTAAGCAAAGCTATCCAAATATGAAGGTCCTGTTTCTCAACATCTCCATCTCGATCAAGACACTTCTGAAAGTGGTGTTTCCATCTCTGTGCCCCTTCCCAGAAGAAAGCCGCATTCTTCCGTTTACACCAGCTCAAAAGGACCGTTTGTGGATTCTTGAGGGACTCGTCATGTTCCTTTTCAATGTTCTTTGAGTTTGGAAAACAAAATGTCAGAATGGGCTAGATCAGGGTTATAGCATAGGTGGTGTATGGATTCCCAAGGAAACTTCCATGGCACAGTCCTATGCGGATGAGACTTGTTGGATGGGGGGGGGGGTTTCCTCAGTACAACTCCTTGGGTATGTGCTCACCAATGCAGTGATCAGATCTCTCTAACAACATCTTCCTAACAAGCCCCTGTGATCATCCGGGTACTTTGAGGAGAATCTATCAAGAGTACCCCTTTGGAATCCTTTGAATTGAACTGGTCCATCAGATACCCTCAGAAACTAGTTTTGATCACCTCTTTGTTTTGAGGGCACCCTACTGAAACGAAAACAAGTAAGTGTGTTGCTGAGCACACTTGGCTGTCGCCTTGAGTAATCAGAGAGATCTGTCTTGGCACATTTTGAACAAACCTATGCATTTATGAACTGGAACTGTGTAGCAATACTTTTTGACTCACCCACCCATACCTATTTGTGTCTTTGCTTCTGCCTTTCTCATTTACTATTGCCGCTGTTATCAACTGCTCAACAACAACAACAAAGAGAGAGCGAGAGAGACTGAGACAAACTTCATGGTCATTCTGGTGCCAATAGCTCTCTAAATCAACCAAAAATATAATAATAATACTAAAATAACCAACTGCCGTCAAGTTAATTCTGGCTGATAGCTGCCTATGTCACACTAAAGGACAGAGTAGAGCTGCTCTCCCTAGGGTTTTGAGGCTACAAATCTTTCTGAGGGGAGATGGCCTCATCTTTATTCAGGGTAGCAGGCTGGTGGGTTTGAACTGCTGACCTCACTGTGCTGTCTGATATACATGTGCCTGTTGAACACTTGAAATGTGTCTAGTGAGAATGAGGTACCTGAGTGCGGGGTAGGGTTGGCTTTTTTGGCCATCCTCCCCCCATTAAATCTTTCCTTCTCATCCTCGGATGCACTGGCTATTTAATTTAATTGGCTGTGCCTTCCCAAGCCAATAGATGAGCCTCAGCTTCCTTGTAGGAATCAGATAATATTAAGTGGTGATGGGACTCTGAAAGCAAGAGTTGACATTTAGATTTTACTTTGAGTTAATTTCATTTAATTAATTTAAGTGGTCTAGTCTCTAGTGGGGCCGGCCATAGGAAGGACAGTGTTTGAAACCTTTCTGGCGGCGTGGTAGCCAGTCACCACTTGGACATATTGAGTGCTGGAAACGGAGTTAGTCCAAGTACACGTTTGCAAAAAGTGTAACAATTTCCAATATTAAAACCCTTAGAATGAAAAAAGTAAACTACCTTGTTGATAATTTTATATTGATGGCATGTTGCCATGATAATATTTTGCATATGCTGAGTTAAAGAAAATATTCTTAAAATGAATTTCACTTTTTTCTTACCTTTTAGTGTGGCTACTAGAACATTTTTCAGTGTTGCACTGCTAACCACAAGGCCAGCAATTCAAACCCACCAGTAGTTTGCTTGTGTCAAGATTTACAGGCTGGAAACCTCACCAAAGCAGGTGTACTCTGCCCTATAGGGTCGCCTGTGAGTCAGCACGAACTCAGTGGCATTGAGGGGAGATGGTTTCTATGAGTCGGCTTTGATTTCATGGCAGTGAGTTTTACTAGAAAATATGAAACACAACTCACATCATCTTTCTGTACAACAGCACTACGCCAATGGGAGGTTTATATGGCACCAATTGACCTAAGTATTCGTCACATCAGTTTTTAAAGAAAACTTTCTTTTTCAGAGGTAGGGAGCAGGCGATGGTATCATTTAGTTGTGACTTCATTTTGGTACCATTTTGTGACTTTTCATTTCGATGGTATCATTTTGTTGTGACTAATTATTCTGCCCAGCAAAACTCAACTGAGCTGAAACACCACCTCGTATGCAGATTTTTGAAACAGCAAAGAAAGATTTCAAATAGGTCCCAGGTGCCAGGTAATGAAGCCACCCTTGACTTCACTTTTCAGAGAACAGAGATTAAGCAGCAAGAAGTTTGCATACCAAAGGCATGGCCCCTCCGGGCTGTTAGTGATGCCTCTGACCTCCATGAATGCACAAAGGAGACTGGCCTTCTGGTGGCCTTTGGTAACCCCTTTATAAACTCGAATGAAGAAGCGAAGCCGAAAGCCTGCATACCACTGCAGAAAGACCTGTTTTAAAATTCCACGTGAGTTTGTCAATATCTGAAAGAATGAGGAAACCAAAAAAGATAGTTGACTCAATTGGCGAATAAGCCCTCCAAGGATAGGGAATCTTTGTTTTTTTTAATTTCTCTCTCTCTTTCTCTCTCTATCATTTAGCACACTGCTTTTGCACTTCTCACTGCCATCAAGGTTCAATTCTGACTGTTAGTGACCCTATAGGGCAGGGTAGCACTGCCTCTCGGCATTTCCAAGTCTGTAACCTGCCCTGGGTGGAAAGGCTCTGAAACACACTTTGGGGCAATGTGGTTCACAAGCAGGTGCCCTTGTCCCGGCAGGAGGACCTGCAGATTGTGCTGTATCCCTCCTCATTCTCACTGGGTCTGTGTTTGCCTCCATCAACATGTCTTACACGAGTGAAATACACCTGTCTCCAACTCTCCCTCTTTCCTTCCCACTTGTTTCCTTCTTAGGCAGACTGGACCCTCTTTTTCTTTGTGTCCTGTCTCAGCGTCTTCATGCCTTTGTTTCTTCTGCGATTTGGGTGTGTTAGTTGTTTTCCTGCTTCTTCCACTTCACCTTCTACACCCCATTTTCACACTCACCCCAGCCAACATTGTCAAAAGAGAAAAGAGAGCTGTAGTTTTTTTTTAGTTACTTTTAAGATAAAGTCTTGCAACATACTTCTATTTAAATATGGTCATTTTCTCACTTGGGAACTAACTGCTTTTCTGTCCTGCTTTTCATAGGATAGACATTCTGCTCTCTGCTCCTTTAATTTTTTAGACCTTATAAGGTAGTTTATGTTTCATTTTTTAACTACTTTAACTGTTTTATTGACATCTAATTCACAAAGCATGCAATTTAATGGCTGGAATATATTTTTAAAAGTTGTGCCATCACCACCACACTCAATTTTAGAACTTTTTCTTCAGTTTTGTACTCATTATTGTTACCTCCCCATGGCCTCCCTACCTCCCTTGCCTAAGAAACTAGTAATCTAGTTACTGTATAAACTTACCTATCCTGGATTTCATATAAAGAAAACCATACATCCCCATCAACAGCAATAACCAAATGAATCACAGAATAACCTCAATCCAAAATAAAGCAGAACATAAGAAAAACTAGAACAAATTAAAAATGAATCCACAGGGAAAACAAATGATAAGATATTAAATATTTATCTTAACTAAATCCACATTAATCTACTTTGTGATGCACTCTGCCTGAGGGGATCTGCTCTTAATCTTTAAAGGGATGAACAAAATATTGATTTCTCTGTAGATTTGAAAAAAAAGAAACAGGCCCAAACTTAAAGGAATTTTAATCTTTAATTAAATGGCTCTCAATTGATTCCCACCCCCCTCGATGAATT